GTCATTTGAGAAAGCTTGGTTCTTGGCTCTTTTTTAGAAATCTGTAATTATATAATAATATAGTGAGCCGTAAATGACAAGCCACCTTTTGCCTCCAAGTGATTCCATTTCTATTTATAAAGCCTGAGTGATAGTTGAAGGGTTTAGGAATGCTTTAAGATGAAGCACACTGTAGCGGGGTCAAAATGCTACATTTCCAACTTCCAAATGAAAGATGGTTCTTGACACCTTAAATTTACTTCAACCAGAGTGGTCTTTTTTGTGTTATCTTTTGGGCTTTATGGAAACTTTCCTTTGTGGGGGGTAGGGTGTTGAAATGAACGCAAGGCCATTTTTCTACAGGGTAGATTCTATTTGTACCAAGGTTTACCTGGGTTTTATATGACACGGCATGCAAAGTGCTTTTTATTGGCTCCTACCAGAGCTCTAAGCAAAATAGCAAACTTGGAAACTATATATTTATCTCCCTACCCAGCAAGCGCCCGGCGCTGCCATGCTCTCTCGGCGTCCTCACACATACGTGTGGGTGAAACGCTGCTAAGTCAGAGGGTGCCCGTCTCACGGGCCCTGATTGCAATGCAGTCCCTGCTGATCGCTGGGAAGTGTTTTCAGAAAGAGGCACCTTAGGGACTACGTGCTTGTCCCCAGCTGTCCCAGGTCTACCCCAGCAGCAGGCCAGCCCTCTCTCTTCTGAAGGGTCTCCTCAGCAACCCTTCTCCCCATGAATTTTTGTCTCTACTATTACTGCTGTAAAGCTTTCTATAACACACTATTACTGCTGTAAAGCTTTCTATAACACACTATTACTGCTGTAAAGCTTTCTATAACACACTATTACTGCTGTAAAGCTTTCTATAACACGACACAGGCCAAGTCAACGTTTTTCATGCTTATCATTACCTGTAGGAGATTAATGCTCCCCAGGGTTTTTACGAGTTAAAAAAGAGGTTGCTAATCCAAATAAGACATGTGCAGAGTATGTCGAGATGTGTTTGGGCCAGGAGGCATCTCGTTCCTGGTGCCCTTTGCCCATTCCAAGCATCCGTAGCCCACTTAGCAGCCATTTGCAATGAGAAATCTGAGGTAGAGTTGGCCCCCTTCTCTAAAGACTGCCATGCCCTGGCTTCAGTACAGGTCTTGACTCATCAAGTTGAGTTTTGTCATGTGTACACATGTGCTTGACACAATGGATGTATAGATTGTTATAAGAGTTCTAAGAGCCCCCAATAAATTTTTTTTAGGTTGGGTTTTGTGTCTAGAACAGATGGGACCAGTGCCTTGTTCAGTGGAGGGAAACAGAAGAGGATCAAGATTCTCAGAGCTATTTTACTAACTCCAGTATAAGGCTTTTAAATACTCTACCTTATCACCCATTGATTTATATAACTTTCTTTCACCAACTCCAGATGGCAGTCTCCTTTGGAGTGGTGTCTGATTTAACCCTCTGTGAGTTCTCAGCCCAGAGTGGATAATGACTTGTTAATAACAAAAGCAGGATTAAACTCACGTTTTCTCATGTCATATACGAGCTTAGTGTTGTTTCTTTTCTAGTACATTTCTGTATTGCATAACAATCCACTTAACAATTTAGTACTTTAAAGCAACATGACAGATTCTCATGGTTCTAAGGGTCCTGCGTCTGGGGAAGGGCTCAGCTGGGCTGTTCTTCTGCTCCACATGATGTCTGTTTGTTTATTAGTCACTCAGCCAGTTCCAACTGGTGGGGGCATCCCTCAGGAGGCGTGGTGCAAGTCAGAGTGGTGGGTGTGGGGGGATATGGAGCACACCAAGTAACCCTGTCAGAAAGGGTGCCGCCAAAATGACTGCCTACCCCGTGTTTGTCTACAGTTTCAGCAAAAATCTATTATTTGTTATAAAAATATCTCTGTAGTTAGTTAAAACAACGAAAAGCTAGCTTACATGTTATCAGTATACTTGTAAAGCTAAAACTCTATGCTAATTTACTTCTTGATCCTTCTAATGCAGCAGTTCACAACCTGTGGATCGCAGCCCCTTTGGGGGGTCGAACGGCCCTTTCACAGGGGTCGCCTGAGACCATCGGAAAACAAATATTTCACAATATGTAATTACATATTGCTTTGTGATTAATCAATGCCTTAATTATTGTTCAATTGTTCAATTTGTAACAATGAAAATACATCCTGCATATCAGATATATAAATGATGATTCATAATAGTAGCAACATGACAGTGATGAAGTAACAACAAAAATAATTCTATGGTCGGGGGGTCACCACAACCTGAGGAACTGTATGAAAGAGTCGCAGCATTAGGTAGGTTGAGAACCATTGTTCTAATGAGTTCCATTTAGAACTGTCATTCTTATCCAATTACAATGACAATTCTTCTGATTGCCTAGTGTGGACTACAAGAGCTACAAGCACATGTTATTGTTTTCTTTGCCACCATTATTTACAAAGTTGCCAATTTTGTCACATTTTCTCATGCTTTAGCTACAATATTATAGTAACTAATATTTGTGAACCTTTGTCAATAACTTACTGAGACTGAATTAGTCATTAAAGGAAAAGAAAAAAAAAGTCATAAAAAGTTTCTCCTGGGTTACTAATGTTGTAACTAATCATTTGACTCAATGTAGAAAGATTTTAGAAAACAGTTGTGTTGTTAGTATTCATCTAATCTTAAAAATATATCATGTTTAATCAAGGTGCAACTATATCATATATAATTCGATGATTAAAATTGATAATACACATGACTGAGGACACTGTGCGGGCTGGTCCAGGAGGCTGTACACGGCAGGGAGGTGACCCAAGGGACGGCACTTCCAGTGAGGTTGGCTGGATGGTCCAGGCTGACTTCATTTACATGCTTAGCGCCTCTCCTCTGACCTCTCTCTCTACATGCAATCTTTCCTTTTTTTTCGTGTTCTAGCAGAATTTAATATCTTCCCTGATTAAGAGTAAAAGTTAACATACCTCTTAAACTGGCCCCAAACTGGCAAGGTTTAACTTCTACTACAGTGTCTGTGCCAAGGCATGTCACAAGCATAACCCAGGTTCAAGGAAGGGAAATCGTTTGTGCCTCGTAATGAATCCATCAACAGGAAGGGACTGACGGTCACCATTTTTGGAAACCAGGCCTACCACAGTGAGCC